ATGTAAAGTGTATTTCTTGAGTTGTTGGCCCGAAATCGGGTTAGGTGGTGGAGATCGAGACCACTATAATAATAGAGGGCGCGCCACATAAATAGTGGTCTCGGCAACGCATCAACACGGATGCTGCACAATTGAAGAAAAAGAACAACCTCGTTTCCGATGAACTACTCAAGAAATACAAAATGGATTAAATTGGAATTTCGTGCAATTAGTTTTCACGATGTGTAGCATAAGTAGTTTGAATGGCGTGAGAAACCGTGGAGCTACAAATACAATATGATCGTAACAATCTAGTGTTTTAAACGTTAAAAATCCATGTTGACTTCCATTAGGATTGTATTTGTTGCAAATAAAATCCTGTATTGTTACGGTCATAATAGCTTGATTATTTGACGTTTTTTTTCTGAAATGAAATCTTTTGATGTCAAACATCATGACAAATGAGTGTACGAAAATTCATATTAATTTAAGGTGTATTTCTTGAGTTGTTGGCCCGAAATCGGGTTTGGTGGTGGAGATCGAGACCACTATAATAGAGGGCGCGCCAAATAAATAGTGGTCTTAAGAACGCATCAACACGGATGCTGCACAAGTGAAGAAAAAGAACAACCTCGTTTCCGATGAACTACTCAAGAAATACAAAATGGATTAAATTGAAATTTCGTGCAATTAGTTTTCACGATGTGTAGCATAAGTAGTTTGAATGGCGTGAGAAACCGTGGAGCTACAAATACAATATGATCGTAACAATCTAGTGTTTTAAACGTTAAAAATCCATGTTGACTTACATTAGGAGTGTATCTGTTGCAATTAAAATCCTGTATTGTTACGGTCATAATAGCTTGATAATTTGACGTTTTTATTATGAAATGAAATCTTTTGATGTCAAACATCGTGACAAATGAGTGTACGAAAATTCATTTTAATATAACGTGTATTCAGTGGCGTAGCCAGGAATTTTTCAGTGGGGGGGGGGGGGGGGGGGGGGGGGGGGCTGGAACATTTCAATTGGGGGGGGGGCGTCATGTAGATCAATGGTAATTATTTTAGAAACTCAAAATTTCAGTGGGGGGGGGGGGCGACTGGGGGGGGGGGCGACAAGATTTCATGTGGGGGGGGGGGGCTATCGCCCCCACGCCCCCCGTGGCTACGCCACTGCGTGTATTTCTTGATTTGTTGGCCCCAAATCGAGTTTGGTGGTGGAGATCGAGACCAATATAATATAGAGGGCGCGCCACATAAATAGTGGTCTCGGCAACGCATCAACACGGATGCTGCACAAGTGAGGAAAAAGAACAACCTCGTTTCCGATGAACTACTCAAGAAATACAAAATGGATTAAATTGAAATTTCGTGCAATTAGTTTTCACGATGTGTAGCATAAGTAGTTTGAATGGCGCGAGAAACCGTGGAGCTATAAATATAATATGATCGTAACAATCTAGTGTTTTAAAAGTTAAAAATCCATGTTGACTTCCATTAGGCCAAAAAAAAAAAGTCTCCGGTTTCTGGTATGGAGCTTGCCCCAAAAGTGGTGCGGTGACGCGGCTTTTTTTTTTTTTTACCTGTTTTTTTTTTTTTTTTTGGCTTCAAATGTCGGCTGATGACTGCAAATGGTGCCCGACTAAACTTAGTGCAAATATATGGGAGTCCAGAGAGGCCACATAAATCTTATTCTCGATCATAACCCCATCTAAAAACACGTTAAAATTGTGCAGCAGCAGAATTCCAGTCAAACCAGTGAGTTTGGCGGTTTTGAAACATCATCTTGTATTGAAAAAAAAACTTTTTCATTTTGCCGACGCGCATGGCTACGGCGACGCGCGCGCATACCAGAAACCGGAGACTTTTTTTTTTTGGCCTTAGGATTGTATTTGTTGCAAATAAAATCCTGTATTGTTACGGTCATAATAGCTTGATTATTTGACGTTTTTTTCTGAAATGAAATCTTTTGATGCCAAACATCATGACAAATGAGTGTACGAAAATTCATTTTAATGTAAAGTGTATTTCTTGAGTTGTTGGCCCGAAATCGGGTTAGGTGGTGGAGATCGAGACCACTATAATAATAGAGGGCGCGCCACATAAATAGTGGTCTCGGCAACGCATCAACACGGATGCTGCACACCTGAAGAAAAAGAACAACCTCGTTTCCGATGAACTACTCAAGAAATACAAAATGGATTAAATTGAAATTTCGTGCAATTAGTTTTCACGATGTGTCCCATCAAGTATACATCAAGTATATATTTGGCCAAGTTCGTTTTTATGAGTTATATATTTGGCCAAGTTCGTTTTTATGAGTTATATATTTCGCCAAGTTCGTTTTTATGAGTTATATATTTGGCCAAGTTCGTTTTTATGAGTTATATATTTGGCCAAGTTCGTTTTTATGATTTATATATTTGGCCAGGTTCGTTTTTATGAGTTATATATTTGGCCAGGTTCGTTTTTATGAGTTATATATTTGGCCAGGTTCGTTTTTATGAGTTATATATTTGGCCAGGTTCGTTTTTATGAGTTATATATTTGGCCAAGTTCGTTTTTATGAGTTACATATTTCGCAAGGTTCGTTTTTATGAGTTATATATTTGGCCAATTTCGTTTTTATGAGTTATATATTTGGCCAAGTTCGTTTTTATGAGTTATATATTTGGCCAGGTTCGTTTTTATGAGTTATATATTTCGCAAGGTTCGTTTTTATGAGTTATATATTTTCGCAAGGTTCGTTTTTATGAGTTATATATTTCCCAAAGTTCGTTTTTATGAGTTATATATTTCGCAAGGTTCGTTTTTATGAGTTATATATTTCCCAAAGTTCGTTTTTATGAGTTATATATTTCCCAAAGTTCGTTCTTATGAGTTATATATTGTCCAGGTTCGTTTTTATGAGATATATTTTACGGAATTACGGAGTTTTATGAAGTTACGGAGCCCCTAAAGGGACATCCAAAATTATTTTTTTATCTCGTGCGCACGACATAATATCTCGTGCGCACGAGATAATTATCACTGGCGCACGACATATATCACGTGCGCACGACATAATATCTCGTGCACACGAGATAATTATCACGTGCGCACGACATAATATCTCGTGCACACGAGATAATTATCACTGGCGCACGACATATATCACGTGCGCACGACATAATATCTCGTGCGCACGAGATAATTATCACGTGCGCACGACATATATCTCGTGCGCACGACATATATATCTTGCGCACGACATATATCTCGTGCGCACGAAATAATTATAAGCATTAACGGAGCTTGCGCATGTCGTGCGCACGAGATATATGTCGTGCGCACGAGATAGTATGTCGTGCGCACGAGATAAAAACATAATTTTGGATGTTCCTTTAGGGGCTCCGTACCAGACACGCTGCTTTCGTTACAAACAAACTCGTCCGCTGCACGTGCAGCAAGCTCCGTTAATACTTATAATTATCTCGTGCGCACGAGATATATGTTGTGCGCACGTGATAATTATCTCGTGCGCACGAGATATTATGTCGTGCGCACGAGATAAGAAAAATAATTTTGGATGTCCCTTTAGGGGCTCCGTAACTTCATAAAACTCCGTAACTCCGTAAAATATATCTCATAAAAACGAACTTCGACAAAATGTATCTCATAAAAACAAACTTCGACAAAATGTATCTCATAAAAACGAACTTGGCGAAATATATAACTCATAAAAACGAACTTGGCGAAATATATAACTCATAAAAACGAACTTGGCGAAATATATAACTCATAAAAACGAACTTGGCGAAATATATACTTGATGGCACTACAGGGCTTTCGTACTATACTGCGTAATTTTGTGCATGCGTGTTGAAGCGAAATGTCCAACTTGGAGAAGCTGGCACGCCGGAGAGCTAGAGGTGAGACCGTGACACCGGTGTGGCAGTGCACTCTAAACGAAATCATAACTTAAGAGGGCGCTACACCGAAACTGCAATCCGCTTGCTACGCAAGCTTCATAGTGACCGTTTTAGCCGATTTTCGGCTAACTTTGACAGATTTTTTGTTAAAAAACGAGTTCGATAGAAAATTTGACAGAATGGATTTTTGGGCAGATTTCTGGCAGAATTGTGCAAAAATGGTTATTTGACAGAAAACAGCAAATTTGCAAAAAAAAATGGTACATTTGTATACAAAAGCTTCAATCTTTTCAATCAAATCCTTGCAAGATAGGACAGCTTGCCTGGTCTAGGTGCTGCCATTCACTGGGAACCGCCGGTTACACCTCTGTTCCGACTGCACCATATTCCTATTCCTAACCCTAACCCTAACCCTAACCGGGAGTAACACAATCTAGGTTGTCGGAACATAGGGGTATCGGCAAGGGCGGATCCAGAAGACAATTTTTTGGGGGGGGGGCCAAAAAAATTTTGGTCCCCCAAAAAGTGGGTCAAAAAATTACGGCGTGGGATTCGAGGCCCGCTTAAGGGCCCCGAAATTTTTTTGGATTCTAGATGCTCTGTGGTGCGATCTGAGGCAATTTCTTACCACTTTAACCAATGTTTTTTTGAGGAAAAGATGGTGGTGTACTCATTGCCTGCCTTTATTGCGACGTCACATAAAAAAAAAATGGTTTCGTTTTTTTTTTTGGGGGGGGGGGGGGCATGGCCCCCTTTGGCCCCCCCCCCCCCCCCTGGATCCGCCCTTGGGTGTCGGAACATAGAGCAGTCACCGCGGATTTACGGTCCGGACGCTGACGCAACCGCATTCTGCCTGAAATTTCCCAATTTCATATTATCTTTATGTGGCTTTGTGGCAATATTACAACATCTACATGTGATTTAAAGTGTTTATAGTGTATTTCAAGTAATTCTGGGGAATTTGGCAGATTTTTGATAAATCTCACATACTTTTGAAGTGCTTTTAGCAGAATTTAGTCATGACCTTACGGTCACCCTGGCGCGCTTGACGGTTTTGATGTACACAACAAACGCCCGGTTGGACTGTTTCGGTACGTACACTAGTACACTAAAAATAAAAGTAAATCTGTGCTAAGACTAAGATCGTGGAATTTATTTGGGTCCCTTGTCCTGTGGAAATCTCAGATTGACTGTGCAGCTAAGTCGATTCTTTCCTTGTGAGAAGTTTATGAAGATTTAAGGAGGGAAAGATTCCCCTATCTGGCCATCACTTCTCACCCTGTGCACAAACTCTATGGGACTGGCCTGAAATCTAAGTGTCTTCTCAGTAAACATTCAAAATGTGTCCCTGCTAATTTGGACTTTTTAGGACATATTATCACTTTGTGATGGCTGATAGGTCATTTAAGGGACAAATTACTGATGGCCAGATACGGGAATCTTTCCCAAAAATAAACTACAAACAAGGCCTATAAATGTGAGAATCAAAATTTGACCAAAGTTCTACATGTTTGGGTACATGTTCCAAGTGTGAACTTTATTTACGGAGGTAGGCCTAGTCCAGAAAATTGGCCACATTTATGGCGCTACGCTAGTGATTGCCTGTAATAGTGTAATTTGAGTGACCAAAATCCCCACCCAGCCAGGGACAAGAAAAATGTGACCAAATCCCAACATCGGACTTGGTCAATGCTCTCGTCGTTATTCGTCCCGTACGCGGTCAATCGTCGGCATATATCCTCAGCGCTATGCACATGCATGTAACAATACAGCGCGAACAGCGACCTCATGCGGCCACTATTTTTTATGCAAATCAGTTGGGGACGATCGAGAGCCTTGGTTCAATCGTCGGCAAAAGCTTATGTTTTTCTTTATTTTGCGCTGGATTTCTAGCGCACGACCTCGTATGCGAATACAGATAAGTGTAGGCGGGGCTAATATGTGGAGTGTCCAATCACACCTTGGTAAATCCAGATGTCATCAAATTATTTGCAGCTATTCGCCTTTTGCGGACGTGACAGGAACCACAGTTTTTGTGCATTGGTGCCGTGTGCAGAGACACACAACGTGTACGTGTATGGATTATGTACGGTGCCACGTTTCACTATGCAAGTTTCCACGCAACGATCGACCAATAAGAAAACGACATTTAAGGTCAGCTAAGGCTATTAACATAATGAGCACCACCCCCAAAACCTCACATGGACGATTGAACCAAGGCTCTCGATCGTCCCCAACTGATTTGCATATAAAAATAGTGGCCGCGTGAGGTCGCTGTTCGCGCTGTATTTTTACATGCACGTGTGCATAGCGTGTGAGGATATATGCCGACGATTGACCGCGTACGGGACGAATAACGACGAGATGCATTGACCAAGGCTACATCGGACCTGGGGCAGCACAGGGGGCAGATCTCCTTGGTTCAAACATTTACATTTGATTCATCTACTCTTCCTTTGTATCTAGGTCTTTTGAAGAATTATCATGGACACATCATCTCAAGAACATGAAGAAGGCTGGACTGCTGCGGCTGTCAACTTGCCAACTGAGGAAGCAATATTTGACAACAAGACAATAAAGGATGGAGGAAAGAGGAAAATGGAGGAGAGGACGACAAAAGACGAGCCACAACTGAAAAGACGAGTCTCGTTAGACTCAGGTTAGCACCTGACATGCACTGTTATGTTTACTGCTCATTGATTTCCGTAATTATGTAATATTGTATGGGCCTGATTTCAAAATTAGCAAAAATGTGACCAGGTCAAAAAAAAAGTTCTGCTGCCAATTACATGGCATTTGAAAATATGGCAGATAGGTAGGGATTTTTTTTGTGTACGATAGGGAGGCGTCTGCGTGAAGTCAAGGATAAAAGTTAGAAATTGATGGTTTTGCGTGTGTTTTCTTTCTCACTTTTCCCACCCCCAAAAAAAAAATTAGGGTAGGGGCTGTAAGAATAGGGTAGGTAGTGAAACCGGAAGCAGAATTTTTTTAAAAAATTTCAGCCTTTGTAGTATTGCACATGCCTAGGTGAAAATTGTGAACGTTTAACCGGTACATGGGTGAAAGGGACCAGATGTCATAGGAGTCCAAATTTCATGTTTCACCAGAAAAGAGTGTTAAAAACCAGCCAGCCGGAGTTTTATCAACTTTTTTAACTGGCCACGTGAGGGGCTCTCAACTGGTTTGGAATCGGTATACTGTCTCGGGTATTTATGGATAGAATTTTTAAACTCTCCAGTCAAAAGGAGTTGAAATCACTAGAACTGGTGCACTTTTGTTTGTGTTGTGCACTTTTTTGCAGGTTTCTACCGATTGCAGAGTTTTTCTGCCGAGAGGAAAGGAGAACGTGAAGACATGCAGGATGCATGCACTCTGCTGGACGACTGCACAGACAGCATCACTACACTACCACCCACTGTGTAATTATTGTTATTATTATTCATTATTCATCTCTTCTGGTAATGAAACCAAGGATTCCTCAAAAGCGCCCTAGGCACTGTAGCTCGCAAGCCTGAAGAAACCTGTGAAGAGAAGACAATGAGAAGAAATGACAGTTTTGAGAGAAACCTGTGGAGAGAAGACAATGAGAAGAAATGACAGTTTTAGAGGTGGAAGGAAAAGCCCAGAAGAATATTCTGGGGAAAACCCATGGAATCAGGTAGGGACTGAAAACCCAATCCACATATTGGCTCAGGTGGGATTCGAACCCGGGTCACAGCGGTGGAAGGCGAGGAAAGTACCGCTATGCCAATCTGACACCCCAATAAACCTTGTAGAACCAGTATTTTGAATATAATTTGATAAATTAGTTTAAAACTACTAACGCCATTGGGTATTCTGGCTAGAGACCCTGCTAAACAAAAGATAGCAACATGCAACACTTGTCAACGACAAGCCTGCTCAGTGTAGCAAGATCCATCAGGTCAAAAGTCTCCAATGGGTACCTGTGGAAGTAAAGACCAGATTGCGCTGATCTTGAGCTGCTGCAGGTCTCATTGCCTTGTGAACTGGGGTAATAATTGTGAATGATACCTTCCCAAATCCTCCAAAATCCTTTTTGCAAATTGGAGGAATTTGCAGGATTGAGGTTACATGGCAAAAGTGCGTTGCTTATTTTCGGAAGGACGCACTATGTCAAGGTCTTGGGCCGGACCTTGTTTTGTTTATGCTCAGCCTAGCATAAATTTAGTCCTTGATTATACTTGAAATCCTCCGCTCTGCTCCAGGATGTCACTGCCTCTGCCTCAGCCTATTGACAGTCATAGCCGGAGGATTTTGCAGGATTCAGGCAGTGGTCACCTCTCCACAGACCATATTCAAGAAATAATGGAGGATTTTGCAGGATTGAGGCTATAATGCTATTTTTCCATGAGGCCAATTGGAGGACTTTGCAGGATTGAGACTACATCCTAGCAAAAAGGCTTAGGGAGTTAGGGTTTTAAAGCTCTGTGTAAGCACCAAATTATTCTTATAATGTTCTCTTTTTTGTGTGTGTGAAACTCTGAACAGGTCTAGGATAGCTTACTTTGCGGTGTTTGACGGGCACAGTGGAGCCAGGGCTTCCCGGCACGCCGCCCAGGCCCTGCACGGCAATCTCTTCAGCAAGTTCCCCAAGACGGAGACGGGCCACAGTGACAAGGAGATCAAACGCTGCCTGATCGACACCTTCAAGCTGACGGACGAGGCCTTCCTGAAACAGGCCTCTGCACAGTAAGACCGTCATAGAGTTGATCAGTCCATGAACCCTCCCTATGATGGTTTAATAATCTCCGTCTGCAAATTTTATAATTTCTATCTGACAATTTAAGCCAGTTTGGTAATGCCAACTACGCATGCGCACAGTGATATGGGTCATGGGTCATTCGGGATGCCCTCACTTAGTGAAAATAGAAATCACTAATTTTTGTTTCAAAGACAAAATAGACGTATGACACGTAATGTCACCCCATTAGTCCACTCACCGCCCTAAACTGCCCTTCCGTTTACTCCTTGTGCTACCCAAAACCAACCGAACACTCTATGGTTTTATGGATTGTGCAGGGAATAAATACAATGTAATACAATGTAATATAATGTAATACAATGTAATACAATGTAATGCAATGTAATACAATGTAATACAATGTAATACAATGTAATACAATGTAATACAATGTAATACAATGTAATACAATGTAATACAATGCATTGCTAATGGGTAAACATCTCAATTTGTTGTTCTTCCGAATGGTAGCCTTTTTTTAGCTGGTATCCTGTCACATTTCTGTATCTCGTAAATTCTCCAGGAAACCGGTTTGGAAGGACGGTTCCACAGCGGTCTGCGTGGTAGCTGTCAATAACGTCTTGTACATTGCCAACCTGGGTGACAGTAAGGTCCTCTACCCACCTCGCTTTGTTTAAAGGTATAATCTGGACTCCTTGACATTCAGAACACGGCAACAGCATCAACCCAATTTTGTGCCACTTTCTTTTAAATAAATTGTGTTTTACAACAATAATTTGAGGCAAACATTCTTGGACTTCGGATACAAGTCCGGGTGACAAAACAATACCATTTTCTTTCTGAACTTTGAAGTTCAGAAAGAATTGAAGGAACCAAGAAAAATGTTGGTAATATTTTTAAAGTTGAAAGAAAACATTCCCGTGCTGTGTACTTTATGTCAAGAAGATTATACCTTTAAATTGAGCATGCCTTTTGTGGAGATGTTTATATTGTAATATTTATGTTCCCAATAAAGGGGTCAAGTTGGCAGTGCAGTGTACAAGATTTGACCCCCCCCCCCATGTATGACTTTAATCAATAAGTGTCCTTTAATGGGTCAGATTTTATTTCTAAAATCCTGATGGGTGCTTCTTCTTTTTTTGGTGCATTTCCAACAGCTTCATGTAAAATTCAATGTCCAATGTGGTCAGGTCCGTGAAAATGTTCAACCTTGAAGTTGTTTGTGTTATATTCACGGCTGGTTTAGTGTTTTTTGGATAGTGAGTGATTGTTGGGTTTCCTACAATGATCTCTCGCTGCAGGCGATGCTGTGTAGATTCAACGAGCAGACTCAGAAGCTGTCGTTGATCCCGTTGAGCAAGGAACACAACCCCACCATGTACGAGGAGAGGATGAGGATACAGAAGGCTGGGGGCACTGTCCAGTAAGCCACAGTCAAATCATAAATCAAACACAAGTCCATCACAAGTCTAATCACAAATCAGTCACATGCCAAATCACATGAGTCACAAGTCAAATGTCAGTCACATGGCAAAAGTCAAAAGTCAGTCACAAGTCAATCACAAATCAGTCACAAGTGTAATCACAATCAGCCATGGATCTAATCACAAGTCAGTCACAAGTCACAAGTCTAATCACAAGTCAGTCACAAGTCAATCACAAATCATTCACAAGTGTAATCACAATCAGCCATGGATCTAATCACAAGTCAGTCACAAGTCACAAGTCTAATCACAAATCAGTCACAAGTCAAACCACAAATCAGCCACAAGTGTAATCACAATCAGCCACGGGTCTAATCACAAATCAGTCACAAGTCTAATCACAAATCAGTCACAAGTCAAATCACAAATCAGTCACAAGTCTAATCACAAATCAGCCACAAGTCTAATAACAAATCAGTCACAAGTCTAATCGCAAAATCAGGCACAAGTCTAATAACAAATCAGTCACAAGTCTAATGACAAATCAGTCACAGGTCTAATCACAAATCACTCACAGGTCTAATCACGAATCAGTCCGAAGTCTAATCACAAATCAGCCACAAGTCTTATCACAAATCAGTCACAAGTCTAATCACAAATCAGTGGCAAGTCTAATCACAAATCAGTCACAAGTCTAATCACAAATCACTCACAAGTCTAATCTCAAATCAGTCAGAAGTCTAATCACAAATCAATCACAAGTCCAGTTACAAATCAGTCACAAGTCAAATCACACGTTAATCCATTCATGTTTTTGCTGATTAGTGGTATAAGTTAATCTCGCTTGCTGACAGGGGAAAAAAACTTGAAAGATGACTAAATCTGATTGAGGGCTCTCCTTTCTCCTTCCCCAGAGATGGGCGTGTGCAGGGCATCCTGGAGGTCTCACGCTCCATCGGCGACGGTCGTTTCAAGCATTGCGGCGTCTCCTGCGTGCCGGACATCAAGAAGTGTCAGCTGACCGATAGCGACCGCTACCTCCTCCTGGCCTGCGACGGGCTGTGGAAGGGGTTCAATGCCGAGACCGCGCTGCAGTTCATTCAGAAAATCCTCCAGGTAAATAAGTTGCTTAATTTAAGCTGGTGGTGTCCAAGGGGCTGTCTATGCCCCCTTCCCATATCATCTGCCTTCAGTGCTCCGTCGAAAAATGTGGGCCCCCTAAAAACGTTAAAACCCTAGTTACGCCGCTGGATGAATGCTTTGGAGGTTATGTAAAAATTATATGAAAATTCCAATTAGGTTTTGCCCTTCATCGATGTATAAACCCTCTATACTCGGTGTGTTACCTCCCGGGTGAAAGTTAGAAAAAAATCACTCGGATGGGACTCGAGCCCACGACCTCCTGCTTTCTAGTGCGTACGTCTCACCACCCGACCACCGAGCTTACGGGATCGGTGGGCTGGTTCGAATCTGATGTACATAGCAGCAGGTTTCGCATTAACTATTCATAAGATTGAATTTTTGCGTCGGGGTGATGTAAATCAAATTAGGTTTGAGTCCCACCCGAGTGATTTTTTTCCAACTTTCACTCGGGAGGTAACACACTGAGTATACAGTGTTTTATACGTTATAGGGCAAAGCTTCATTTGATTTACATCACCCTGACGCAATCATTCCATCTTATGTATATGAAAATTCTCAATATTAACAGCTAAAATTGTTTTATTCTTATTTTTTTAATGACAGGACAAAACAATCAAGTCATTACCCGGAAAGACCCTGGACGAGACCAGATTTGACTTGGCCTGCAACAAGCTGGCCTCGGAGGCCATTCGGAGAGGCAGCTCAGATAACGTCACTGTAGTCTTAGTCAGCATCTCCAAGACATAGCAAATGGTTGGGGGTAATTCAGCAAGGTACCGGACTATTTAAACAGAGCCCAGCTTTCTAATTAGAGCAGTCTGGATATCGGACAGCCCTTACATTTCGCATTTGGGTTTACCCTATGGGCTCCATGCACGGACGAGAGTGGACACTTATTTACCACATTTGAGAGCCATTTTGACGGGACACACCGGCTGTGCATCAGAACCGGGTACCCAAGTACCCGACCATTAATGTCAGGAATCGGTTCCAGATCATGGGATCGGGTACCCGCAACCAACTTTACAAATTACTAAGTAACTTCTCAGACAATAAAAACAGGAGGTTTTGAATGTTGTGTATGTCGCTCAAACAAATTGAATCAAATACACAGAACGATGATTAGAATACTTGACGCAATTCATTTATTTTCCAAAAATAATCATTTGCTCAGCAACTCTTCAGCTGTAAAATATGCTATTGTATGTATTGAAATAAAGACTGGCCTTTTTAAAAGAAATGAAATTACGTAATATATCTCTTGATGTTGCGTTATTTATCTTAACACCTTGGAAAAGATTAGCTTTTGTCTCAGCAGGTTACGTTGTGCTTCCACAAAGGAGATGCTTAAAAGGGGAGGTGCTGAATTTTTCCCATGTATGTACAGTCGAGTCTCGTTAATACAAACTCGTTCAGACCTAGCCAAATTGTTTGTTATATCAGAATTTTGTATTAAGAGGAACATCAGTCCCATTCACTGTGCACATAAATGCACAGTCGGGACTAAGGCGTTGTGTTTGTTATAACCAGAATTTGTATTAAAGAGTTTGTACTAACGAGAGTCGACTGTATAGTTTAATTTTAAACTACTTTTTTTTTTTTTACTTTAAACTTCTTTTAGTCGGCTGTGGAAGTTGTGGAACTGTAAACATGTCGAACCGTGTCTGCTTTGGCAAAAAGGAAATACATAAAGAACAAAATTTGTACTGAATACATTTCTTCTCAATCTGAAACAGAAAAATCACATTTATACCGTTTCACAACCTGGTACAGTTCACTGTGCTGAAGATGAATGTTCTCCATGTTCAATATATTAAACGGGCACTAAGGTCCTGAAATCCCCGAAAATGTTATGTTTTGGATTGTTTACTTAGCCTATTTCAAACATCTGGTTGAAAGGAAACCAACCTAATGTCTTACCGTTCCCGAGAAAAGACGGAAAAAACCTGCTTGTTTACATCGGACATGACGGAGTACGAATACGTTTTTCGTGTCGTTCTCATGTACGCATACACGTTGTGTGTCTCGGGAACAGCGCGCGGTGACCAATCACCAATGCAAAAAATTGTGGTTTCTTCAACGTCCGCAAAAGGCGAACACTTTACGCGTACGAATGAAATCACAACTAGCATCCAAACAGCTCGAATTTATGGGGTCGCAAAAGTGGCCCCCGAAATTCGTTCTCGCACGCATAATACAGGAATAACACAAAACCGCCCACTTTTGAAAGGATAGTTGTGTGGATGTTTATATCCTACTTTTAAAAGTTATTTCCGATTATCATCATCTCGTTCAAAGCGCATTTTGTAGCCCAATTGGGCTGTTCCAGGACCTAGTGTCCCTTTAAAAGAAAACCTTAAAAAGTGAAATCCGTGTGCAATTACATGGTGCATTATGCAACTGACTTTCACAATAGACTCCAGACAGTTAAAGGTAGAGGAGATCATTTGCAGCTATCCAAAAAGTAACTGACAAAATTATTGTTGAAAAGCTCACTTGGTTTAAAGATGGTAATGGCACTAAACTCCCTGTGAAATCATTCCTTCTGGCATACTGTCATTTTGAAGAAAACAATAAAAGAAGGCCATTTCCAAAGATGTGCCAAGTGACAAATTTTTAAAAATTTCTGTTAGTAGTTGGTTTGTAATTCGGCAAATCCGTGAATGGGTTGCTATTATTCTTCGGTTCAGTGTGTGACATCGCGTAGTTGCAATCGGCTGAATGGGAACGCGTCCCGGATGCTGATTTCAAGCGCAATTCAAAACATGACTCTGCAACTTTTGAATTGAAATCAAGATCCTTGAATATTGTTTTCTTGGCATTTACAGCATTCAAAGAGCTAAAACTTCATCTGGTTAGCTTTTAAGCACCCGTTTATTTTTCAATAAGCAAATTCGTGGGCTCACAATTTGACCCCCCCCCAAAAAAAAAATGAACAGTGTCTTCCTGAAATGACATCACTGCAATAGCGCCGTCCAGAAAAGCGTGGAAAATGTTTAAATGTTTAAAGAAGTGCACCTTTTAATGAAATTAACCAAAAATGGATGTGAGATATATTTTTCATACATTTTAGAGGAGTAGAAAGTTGCACGAAATCTGTTCCTCAGAAAAATTCACTTCATGGACCCTTTAAGAAATCGATACAGGGCGAGTAAAAAAAAATGAAACTCAAATGTCGGGACCATTGTTTGAGTGAAGTTCTGCATGTAGTCCCGACATTTGGGTTTCGTTTTGTTTTTTACTCACCGTGTATAACCCCTTCAGCTTGGTACATACGTGTTATTTTGTACCCTGTAACCATTAACCCTGCATTTTCTTATCATCAACGTTAAAGCATTCCATTCACAGAGGTGGGTAACTTCTATCTCATTGATCTCAAACTCCCTTTGCCAAGAATCTTCTTGGAAGCTCTAACATCTCAGGGTGGCTAGCTAGTGCGTAAAGCCTCGCTTCTCACCACTGCGGCCCGGGTTCGATTCCCGGCTCGGGTCACATGTGAGTAGAGTCGTTCGTCGAGTCTCTCCTCGAGTCTCTCCTGTGCCACGAGGTTTTTTTTCCGGGTTGTCTGGTTTTCCTCCCTCCGCAAAAATCAACACTTTTGATCTCTGGTTTTGCTCTGTGGTCCGATATGGATCGTATAGCAGCTGTGAAGGCGCCTTTAAATGCCTTCCATTGACCACATTGTATCTGCTTCCTTCGCAATTCAGCCTTGCAGCTGCAAGTAAGGATGATTAGCCCCCCCCCCCCTTCCATCCCAATATAAATCCACCTCTGACCAGGAACCCAAGGGTGCAATCTTTATGCTGAAACTCTCATCGGGCAACAGGTCAAGTGTAGAGTTATAAACAACAGATGGCACTTTGTGAACCCTTTCGAGAACCTCGGTTGGCGGGACACACCACGCGCGTACTGGTTTGCGTACGTATTGCGCGAAGTACGCACAACTGATTTGCTTTCTGAATTTGTTCAAACCAGCAGCATCCTCACTTGCTGTTGTCAAGACGGTACTTCAATATTAGGTTTTGCCCTTCACCGACGTATAAACACTGTATACTCGGTGTGTTACCTCCCAAGTAAAGGTTGGAAAAAAATCACTCGGGTGGGACTCGAACCCACGACCTCCTGCTTTCTAGTGCAGACATCTTTACCACTCGACCACCGAACTTACGGGATCGGTATTTGGGTATTTGTTTGCGGAGTCCATAGTGACTGGGCTCTACCTTTTGTAAATCCTGTGAAATCCTTTAAAACCACCTGCTGGATTGTGAAGGGTCTGGGTAGGTTAGGGATAAGCTTGTCCTGAGAGCAGCTTTAAGTGACCTTGTTCTTACAGGATTTCTAACACATTCGGTGAACATACTCCACTGGCACAGAAGATGACCCAGTTCTCAGCCTTGTCACAGGGTGTTATTTCGTCCCTGGTCATGTATGTTCGAGTATGGGCTGTGATTGCTGATGTTACTTGAAGAGTTCGGATACACTGCCCCGGTTAGTTTCATTTTACGTGGCCCGCTGCTGATGGTTATTCGGACGTTCCGCTCTGGTCGTATCAGGATCAGGTAGATCCGTGGTAAAAAGAGGCAGGCAAGACACACTGTGGCGCAGAGGCTGATGGCTATGTACATGGACACGATCCGGAGTTCGATGTTTGAGATGGTTAGGATATAAATCGGAATCATCGCCAGCCAGACAATACAAGACGAGTACATGGTGAAGCCGATACACTTCGCCTCGTTGAAGTGTCCGGGAATCTTGCGAGTCATGAAAGCAAATCCGGTGCATAGGATAAGCAAGACGAGGGGAAACGCTAGTCCGAGGAGTGATGTTGATGTTATGAAAGCATTGCAGACGATCTGCACCTGTCCCCTGTCTGGATAATGTCTGACCGCATCCGGAGGCACGGCAGCCAGCCAGGTGACTGAGAGGAACCCCTGGACTAAGACGAGTATCAGAGTGATGACAATCTGAGACAACGGGCTGATGAAATTTGGTCTCTTGGTTGTCGACTTCCCATAGGTAAAGATCCTGTACACCCTGTTTGTCTTGACCAGTAAGGACGCATAGCATAAAGTGAATGCAATCCCCATCAGGAACTGCTGCAGTCCGCACGTCAAGATAGTGGGCGGGGCCAGAAAGAGATACGTCAGTGCGTAGCACAGGAACACGCCCACAAGGAGAAGCCCACTAAGTTCGCGTCCTGAGGCCTTCACCACGGGCGTATCCCGATGTCGGATGTAGATACAAGCCGTGAAAATGGTGGCAAACTCACCGATGGTTGCAAACACAAGTGCCGATATGGCGCTCGACGTGTTGGGCTGCAAGTACCGCTCTTGGATGTTGGTGCACTCCGTGAGGTTATCAGTGGGCTTGGTGCCGTTGGGGCACTCTGTGCAGGTGAACTCATCCTGCAGGAACTCGTACTGTTCGCATGGCAGGCAGCTCCAGCAGCATTCCCCGTCACGCTTGAACTTCATCTCGTTGTGGCTGCACGGGCGCCAGCAAGAGGACTTAGGAAACTTATCGTCCATGAGACGGTACCGCACGGCACTGGTATTGAGCTGAAGGCCTTCCTTGTAGTAGCCGACGGGCACGAACTTGTATTTGTTTGGAGACACTTGCTGATAATTGAGGATCTTATAGTGCACTACTGGTCCATTGCCATTGGGGGTAAACTGAAATGCGTTGCCTGATACACCTATCAAAACAAAATAACGAAACTTCAAAAATGTGAACTGCTGACAAAAACACATGAGAGGTGAGTCAGAAGAAACACACAGATCTGAAGTTTTTTTTGTCTAGAGATGTACTCCTTCCCCCTACTTTGTGACTTTAGTGTGTCGCAGTACTTGTCTTCCTTCCTGCGGGAGTCAAGTTTGCATACAGTTGTTCAAACACCAACTTCCAATCCTTTGATTTATATTCATGACTGGATTTAAAGTACACCATGTATATTTCCCCAGCTAGCAAGATTGGTTTGCCCTTCCTAAGCCTCACCTTGAAATGAGACGTTCCGGAGGAACTCCCTCAGCTCCTGACCCTTGACTGGTCGCATTCGATTGCAGAGACCGTCCCCAGAGCAGTAAGCCCTGTGCATGTCTCTGAGGGCGTGTGCAAAAGCCCAGACAGAATCGGCCACAAATTGTATCTGTGGATTGGATAAAAAAAAAGGAGGTAATGAAGTTCATTGTCCTGAAACTACATCCCAAGATTTATTGTCAGTAATGCCGAGAATTCAATTCACCATGGGACGGAATGAGACCGGAAGCTTGTGGGGAAATTAGAATCTGGGAATATTGTCAAGCACTTTGAGGACTTTGTTCAGCTTTTGAGAAGCATATGTGCTGATAAATCAAATGTTTTGAGAGCTGTTCTCTATCACCCCTCATGTGTATATCATGTAGAGTCAATGACCGGGTTCACCCTCTGCAAACTGGGTTATGTCAGACTTTTCACTGTTAGAGATACCAATTACATGTACATGTATACTTTATTTGAAGTGTCGCTGTACTACCAGTGATGCTATAAAGTGGGTTGTACTTTGTGCGTTTAAAAGCAGTGACCTCATTGTGGGAAAGTTTTTTATTGTTAGGGAAATTAGGACCGAGTTTGGGGGACTATCTAATGTCTGTGGTCCACAGCATCTTTTGTCCTAGCAGTAATTGTTCTTCAGTGTATTCACTGTGTTGAGTGCCATGGCCTCATTGTCTGCAGCATTGAATTCGTGGTCTGCAGGTAATTCTGCAGGTTGGGTTCGAGTCCAGCCTGGGGCTATATAGTGTGTTTGTCCTTGGGCAAGGCATTTAGTCACTCATTGCTAATTCTCTCCACCCAGGAGTAGGTGGGTACCTGTGAGGGCAGAGATGGTATGTTGTGATTGATACTAGCTGCTGATCGCGCCGAAATGGCTGCATCGAGCTGTATTCTCCCCAGGTAGCTGAGATGGTCTTTTGAATGTATCTTTAGCCCAATGAGCAGGGGTAATAATGACTCTTTTACAGTGCATTGGGACCATGTGTGAAATGTGCTTTATAACTTATAAGCATGTTTTTTATTTTTTTAAATTTTGAACAAGTGTCTGTATGGGTGTAGAAGAGGGTACGTTTTGTGTTACTCGCACAAAGGAAACAATGGTACCCCATCTGTCGGTCTTTGTCTAAAAGGAGAACAATGCAAGTACCTCATCAACCAAATCTGTAAGGTATGTGTGTTAACCAGTTGCTCATCACATCAGGCTGCTAGGGGGTTTGGCATGTCTGCGTGGGTGTGTGCTCTCATATTGTGAAGCAGTTCTTAATTCCCTTCTACAAAGATGAGAAACCTTAAGAATGTTGTCTCTGAAAAAAGCACGAGGTTGTGTTCTCACCTGACCCTCTTGTGAATAGTTGTTTGCAGTCCCGAGCTTCAGGTTTCCCGGGCATCTAGGCCGGTCAGAGGGTCCACGCACGCCGGCCGCCGTGTTGTTGTACGGAAGACTGCAGTTAAAGTGCTGCTCCCAGAATTCCCTGAACCACGGGTCACGGTCGTAGGTCAGTGGGTTCAGGCTGGTGAAGTAGTCATCAAAAGCTGGAGGGAGAATGATGCGAGTGTGGATTGAATTGTGACTCCTGTGTAAACCAGTTAGTTTTATGATAGTGCTATAGAGCTGGTTTTGTAAGATTGGCGCAGCAGTTTTGCCAAGCACATCTGGTCTGGTTAGGACATTGCCAACAGGCTCATCAGCGATCTATCAAAGTTGAGCCCTTTCTGCCATGAAGTTTTGACCAATCACAGCCATATTGGCATAACAACAAATCTGCAATTTCATATGATGCATGCAGCTGGATGGAATTTTTGTTTTTATTATGGTCCATTTTTTTATATGGCCCAAATCAGGCTGGCGTTTATCTCCGGTTTCAGTAGCATGAAAATGACTGAGAATATTTCTAATTCCCCCTGGATGGGATGCCAGTCCATTGCAGGTTACTCCGCAGCCGGTACCCATTTTTACTCCGGGGTGGAGAGAGGCAAGTGGGGATGAAGTGGCTTGCCCAAGGACACAATGTATGGCCAGCAGCTGGATTCGAACCCCTGACCCTCTGATCATGAGTCACGAACACAAACCGCTAGGCACACTTCCCCAGAATTCATTAGATTTGATAAAGGTAAAAGAGACCAGATTTCATAGGAGTCCAAATAGGACACCGGCTTGACCTGGACATTCGATTGATTTTATCAACCGTACCTGGTATTGGAGCTGACATTGGCTGAATGGTAATAGCGCCCTCTACAAGATCCTCATTGCCAAAAGTGGATAGCTGTCTCCCGCTCCATGAGTCGCTGCCGATCCAGATGAATTTGTGCACAGCGTTGGCGCGCCCGAGGGCCTTGAAAAACTTATCAGCCGACTCGTCTAGAGCCCACAGAATCACAGCTAAATTCATGAACAACAGAGAATAAAACGTAAAAATTAGTTCTATTTTTCTTTAAACAAGCTGGTAGTCTGTGGATTTGTGGGGGCCAAGGGCGGATCCAGGGGGGCCAAAGAGGGCCATGCTCCCCCCCCCCCCCCAAAAAAAAGAGACCAATTTTTTTATGTGACGTCGCAATAAAGGCAGGCAATGAGTACACCACCAGCTTTTCCTAAAAATACATTGGTTAAAGTGGTCAGAAATTGCCTCAGATGGCACCACAGAGCATCTAGAATCCAATAATTATTCGGGGCCCTTAAGCGGGCCCTGAACCCCACGCCGTAATTTTTTTGACCAACTTTTTTTGGGGGACCAAAAATGTTTTTGCCCCCAACAACAACAGTTGTGTTCTGGATCCGCCCTTGGTGGGGGCTCATATGCGTTTTTGTGAACACTCTGAATCACTTTATGGAAATCTCAATAAGCTCAGAACTTCTTTCCCGAAGACGATCGGAGCATACTGACCGGAACGTCGAGTTTATACCTCTGGTTCTTTTCAGAACTATTCTCTTAGTTTGAGAAATTATTCCCACAATGGTGTTTCCGCAAACCTTTCATTCATTAATTTCAAAACCACTTGATGCCATTTTTTCTCTGATCCTTTTATGGGCGGGGTCATGACGTTAAAAAGTGGGGGGCTTCGCTCACAAAAAAACACGATTCCGTTAATTTCTCTTTTCTAATTCGCATTTGGACAGTTCATCCAATTGCTACATCCTGAGAATAAAATAATTCCAGAATTTGGCCTCTGCTGGGGGTTGCATGATTTTTTTATCAAAAGCCAAGTGGCTATGAATTGTAATTTACCAATGGCAATATACTAAGCTTATAAAATGCATTTGTATTATATATGAAAATAAAGCATATGTAGGAAAGAGTTCCATACCTGGACATCAATTGATACCCTGTGCACAAACCTTATGAGACTGGTCTTAAAAATTGCAAGTGTTTCTCAGTGAATGTTCAATATTTTCCCTGCTCAATTAGATTTTTTACTGCAGCCGCGCTTCTGATGGCTGATAGGTCACTGTAGGAAAAAGAAGTCTATGTCCATGTAGGGAATTCTTCCCCACATGTATATTATTAGTATTCCGGTCTGCATGCTCGTTTTATATTTAGAAGACAACATATACTCCATTTGAGTTTCATTAAGAACAGTTAATAAACCCGTTTTACGACACATTGGGTACACCACCTTTAAGGCAAGTCATTACCCGACTAAATTAAATATCACCTTTTTAAATAACCACCAAATTACTTTAGACGACGAGGCGTCAGGTTTTTTAGCTGCCTGTGCCTGTGGAGTGTCATGGCCAAGCGGTTAAGAGCACCGGACTCATGTTCTGGTGTTTCAGAGGCAACAGTGACGTGGGTTCGAGCCCGGGCGCGGACACCTGTCTGTGCCCTTAAGCAAGGCACTTAACCATTCTTGCTTCGTCCTTCGGATGGGACCCATATCCGTAAGTCCCGTGTGTTGTATAAGGCCTTTCGCACGTAAAAGAACCCAGTAACGCTTATCGCTAAGAGAAGGGGTTCGCTCCGGTGTTTCTGGCAGGAAGGATGTGTATACCTTTCCCGTGTGACCCCTGAGAAGGGGTGTTGGTGCAGTATTCATTATAAGACAAGACAAGAAACGAAGATTTGTCTTACTTAAAGATTTGGACGTTTGCCGAAAAGCAGACAATCCGAAATCAACATCTAAAAAACTGTGTAGTGCAGGTGCGTGTAGTTGCCCTGTGAATCGCAGTAGCCTGCAATTACATGAAGAAGGCTTTCGATATCGTGATTTTTGACACGTTACCAATTATAGAGATCATTAAAAAGTGAATCCTTTTGACGCACGCTGATCAAGGGAGCTGGATAACGATACAAACTCATAGTCTGTACCTAATGCAGTAATGTAGTGGCTTATAGCTGAGGCCTGCGTAGGTGGGCGAACGTCAATGAGAACAGCCATTATATATAACTGCCCAGGGGTTTTAACTTAGGGATCGGGTGCTGATCTATTCAAATGACAGAAACCTCTCGAAGAGGCTGAATTTCCTTTTGATACTGAAAGGTCTCGAGCCCGTACTGAGTGGATTGAGGTGGGATGGGATTTTGTAGCAGTTTTCGAGTTGTCATCTGCGCGCTCGGCTCTCGATCGTCGATTGGATGTTGTATGCTGATTGCTGAATACATAGTAACCAACGTGATTCATTTTCTTGTTTAAAGTGTATACTAGTGAAGGCTTGCGGTAAAACCATGTAGAAAGCTCTTTTGGGTAGATGTGTGGTTCTGAAAAGAACCCGCAAACCTTCACTAGTTCATGCTACCAACATGCACAGTTTCAAATCCCTAAAGTGTATATGTTTCCCATTAAAGTATCCTCAAGTAACCCACCGAATATCAAAAAGCTTGCTACTTCACACCCCCGTCTGGCTCGCTGTCATTTTAGAAGAAATCAGGAAACTATGGTGATTTCCAACGATCAGTCGATTTGTTTGGAAAAAGAGTGCCATCGACGAAATCGTGTTTCGATCGTGATCAAATGGCTTGTCACCATTTTCTCGAACTAGTGTAATCCACTAAGCTGAAACTGCAACAGGTTAGGTTTTCAACGTTGCTTTGAGTGGTGTTATTATTGGAATCCAACCAAAATGCATGAAAAAGCAAACGATCTCATAATTATGCCTTTAACAACCGCTCTCTAACATTTTCATTTCGCCATTTATATTGCAATACTTGGCGCTTTCACGTCCGCTCTTTAATTGTACATTTTAAGGAAAAACAGAAACATCCTGAACTCATCGATTCTTCATTGATGACAGTCTTGTTTTACGAAGTCAGTAGTGTGTGGTAGGCACTATCCCTAGCTGCTGAATTTGATTGAAGACGCTAGAAGCTCATCGAGGGCAATTGGTTTGTTTTCCGGAAATGTGAAACCTTTATACAGTGTCTGAGTGATCTACAGCCCTCTGAAATGAAATCCATACCTATGCACTCCCATTTGACTCTGCCCGTGTTGATATTTTGACGGTTGTCCATTGTGACATTTTTTGATATGAATGGAATGCTATACCCATGCTAAATTTACCACGAATGCCTGCACAAAATGTCACGCTCTCTCATCAAACATCCGAAAGATGACATGCGCATATCGCCGGAAGGAAAACCTTGCACGACCCGCCACCTAACACCGGGATTAAGTTATAACGAGACGCCACCGAGACTGCTTCATCTTTATAGCCGCAATCTATATCTGTCATGTCTTATAAAAATTGTATTTCCTTTCTTTTTTTAATGCCTCTGGAAAAAAAGACCAAGGCGGAAATTGATTGTAGATATTCAGCGTGGACGTCATGTTGATGATACCGGCTGATGACCATGAATCCCCGGGTTCGTTTATGGGTCAACCCGGTGTTCCTGTGCCGGTGCGTGTCTGTCAGTGACTCGCAGTGCAGCTAGCCGGACCCTTGATCTGCCCTCTCCGCAGGTCGGTTGTGGAAATTGTAGATCGAAGACAGGTCAAACAGATTTCCATGTGGAGCTAACACCGGAGGTCGGTAAATAAGAACACAGACGACAGATCGTTCTTCTTTACAACATTCAGAATCCATACCACGGACCTTTAACTTTTTAATTAGCCCACAGGGCACGTGTCCCGACGTGATGACGTCACGTAGCGAGGTTCGCGCCGGAAATCGACCACACCTGTACCCATAAATTTTAATATGTTTACATCGTGCCGTAAATCTTAACTGTGTATATTATTCCATTCAATTCAATTTCCATTCAATTTAATTGTTTATTTTCGTCATGTAAAAACATGAAACTCGACCCCTCGTTCAGTATACTCGTTTCAGTTTTAGGGTGACACATTATGGTCTAACCAATATCTTTGAAATGTATTTGAAACATTTCATACATACATGTCAATACGGAGAAAACGGTCACGTGGGGTCGATATGACGTCACCAATCGGTACTCGCGATCGATCCCTGGTACCTGCAGCTATTCAAGTTGCCCAAAACTGGCGTCTTGTCATATAGTTAACCATGTGGTAGTGGAGTTATACTTTTAACATAGGGTGTTTTTTTTAAATGGCAGATAGTATGATCAAACCTTTCTGCTGGTCAGATACAGAAGCAATAACAATGGGAGAGAAAAAAAATAGGGGGTTCTATCTTAATATGTGAAACGTCTCCAACCTCGTGCCCAATGGGTGCGATCTTGGAGCGCCATTTTGTTTCCCATCATGCTTTACTAGTGGTTGAAACATCATGGGAGGCATGGAGTGGAGGATATGAATGTCTATTTTTGTATTTTGTATTACCTCGTGCATCGGTCGCCTTGAGCAGATTCCCCACAATGCGATCGTACACAGACTCGTTCCCATCCCTGGGGATCATCTCCTTGACCGCCACGCACACGTCATTAGCCCCGGCCAGCTTCTTGACTTCCTCGATCCCTTGCACGCCGTAGTTGGAGTTCTCGTAGACAATGGAGATGTAGGTCCAGTTGAAGTGCAGCACGATGTCGATCATGGCCTGGGCCTGGTACTGGTCGGACGGCACAGCCCGGAAGAAGTAAGGGAACCGCCGGCTGTCACTCAGGTCTGGACTGGTGGACCAGTAGCTGATCTACGGGCAAGGCAGACAATAGAACCAGACAATTAACTATTATCAGATTCGAACCAAACAACTGACCCCGGCAAGCTCGATGGTCGAGTGGCAAGACGTCTGCACACGGGGCCGTAGGAAGTGGTACGGCTATAGCCGTACCAAGGATTTTTTTGGGGGGTGGTGGTTTTTTTCAACAATTTTGTAAGGATACTAGATTAATAAAGTGAAATGAAAAAAAAAATTCAGTTTATTTCCATCTAATATTATTGGCCCCTGTATAAGATTGGGATTTTTTTTATCTTAAGCCCTAGCTCGGACAACAGTATAGAGATTTGGCTCTGTTGGCGTCGTGTACATGTTATGTTACAGAACATGCCCGTGACAGCAAAACCAAATTATGCTGTAAGATTAAAACCCACAACGGGGTGGGCTGACGTCATCCGATGAAAACATCTATTCATTTGCACACTACACCAGTTTTCATCGGTTGCTATGTGTAATACCATCCAGCACTCCAGACTCAAGAACCATGGAGTTTCAAGAACATTAATAGGTTGGGAGCTAGGTAAGCCAAAAATCCCGGATGTCCGCGCCACATACGTCTGTAGAATATACGCGACATCGTTGCCGGAGAGGCAGAGAGACTGAACTGCACTGGATTTGTGATTGAGCATCAATAGTTCGTACACCTTTCTATTATTAAAAACAAGCTACCTAAGTGAAAACTATAGTATTGATCGGCAGCTTAAGAGCCATTCTTTAAATTTGTAGTCCATTTTTTCCTGCCCCTTTTACAACAACTGACATCTATGATTTTAAAAATCGGGATGTACTCCTTAATACAGTCGTCCTCCAATAGCAGTTGTTTTACTATACGTACCAACAAATACAAAAGAAATCGTTTGAAGTCATCCTAAATGATACTTCATGGCAAATTGCGAAGTTCAGAGGTATAACGGGGACAGGAAAAATGTGTCACTTTGGACCCTAAATTCATAGAATGACCCTTAAACATCTAGTGGTTAAAATTAGTTGTTAGAATATAAAAAATACTGAAGTTATACCAAAACGTTTTCAAAATAATACATCATAATGGCTGTTCGGAATTGGTACCACAACGAAACTGCTTAGAAGTTGTTCCAGGCAGCATAAATACTGTCTGGTAATCATGGTCTGCCTGTCAGTTAGGCCCATATTCCAGACATCAATTTCCTTCATGAAAATGAATGCCTTTTTATGTAGCCCACAACGAAGTATGTGAGGAAAAGCCATTACAAATAACAAATGGTTTCCATTAATATGGGCGGTTCATAACCATCTCGGCTGGGCATCATCCCTAACTACGTTCCAAGAGCGGCTTCGTCATCACTCGAAGGACCCTCTGCGAATATCGATCCTCGCCGACGTACTTCGCACGCATCCCACTTGTCCAAGGTTTCTGACCAATAAATAATTTGTTTCATTAAACGAGCTGTGCTCTTATTAATAAATTAATAATAACTAATGCAACAAAGGCCTTTTAAAAACAGGTCAGCCTTGCGAGCCACGATGAAATCATAATAATAACAATTCTTTTGTGCTGGACAGAGGATATTAAAAATAATAAAGGGTGTCCGAACGAAAATAAATTGAAATTCAGTGTAAGAGAGGCCGGCCTTTCAACTCGCACTTTCGTTAAGAGCTGGTCTTTGTTTCTGCAACTGACCAGTTGGTTGTACTTGTGGACAAACAAACTGGGGTTTGTGTCAACACGAAGTGACATGTTTATTTATATTTGTCTGCGAAGATGTAGCCGATTTTTTTGTCCTTTATTTTGATAAATGGGTCGAGCCTGACCATTTCTCGAACTTCATCCGGGGGACTGAATTTTTTTCATACGTTCGCGTCCTTCAATTGCCCTCCCTCTGCGATCTTGAGTAGGCCTAAAGTGCCCGTCTGTCAATGCCTTGAAATTAGGGGTTGCGTTGATGTCTGTGTGGGAACGAGGTGGACAGGTTTGTCTTGCCGTTGACACGAATGAATCTTATTAACAACAAACTATAAGAAGCACTTGGAGCATACGAACGGCCGACAATTGCCCAAAATAACTGTTAACCCAAGCCTATGTTGTTTAACGAAATATTTGTTATATACAGGGTGACCCAAAAAAATTCAACCCTGAAATTGCCTTTTTTCAAAAACGTGATCGGTAAATTTGTATGTTTTGGATATCAGATTAAAACAGAGAGCTTTCTCTTTCAAATACTGACAAAAATCATGAAAACAGCACATTGGGTTGCTGAGAAAATGCCAATTATGTAACACAACTCCTTTTTTGTCCATTCCAATGGCATTACCACAGTAAACTGTTAATGGAATTACACTGTACCTATTTGTGCATGAAATGCATGTGGCACATTGTGTCATTAAAAACAACACGGCACATAATATGGCAATTAGGTACAAATGAATTTGATGGAAATGCATTTTATTTTCCACCTGAACAGGTATCTTATCCTTTTAAGTTCTATTTTAAACCTTTTCAGCATCATAAATATGTCAAAATATTAAAGAAATTGCACAAATGAAAGACAATTGCACAGTGGGCTTACAGTAACACGTTTCACTGTTTGAAGCACCATTGGAAAGGATGCAAAATCACTTCTTTTACATAATTGGCATTTTCTCAGCAACCCAATGTGCTGTTTTCATGGATTTTTTTCTTCAGTATTTGAAAGAAAAAGATTTCAGCTTCAATCTGATATCCAAAACATAAAAATTATCCGATCATGTTTTTGAAAAAAAAGGCAAATGTTTCAGGGCTACATTTTTTTGGTCACCCTGTAGAGTCCATACACGTAGCATTGGACTAGGCCTATACAGAATGTATAAACAAAAATGTACTCCGAATTTAATGGGTTATTATTTGAAAGTTATTAACCTGAACACTGTCAAAGTGATTCCACCGTGACTGCGACGGCACCACTTTGTTTTGAAATCCATATGGTGGTCGGTCATCTGTGACTACAAAGATGCAAATAATGTATCAATGGAAAGCTCATGAACTGCCCTTTAAGATGGAGCTACTTTAACAGTTAAGTGTTCGAGTTCATCACCTTCACATACTAACCCATTATGTTTTTATAACTTTTTTGTTGTTGCTATACCCTGTAAAGTCTTTAGTGCAAAAGAAAATTGGTACATTGTCGATAATAATGAACCTGTTTTTGGTACATTTTGCTATTCCATACTTTGGCACAAGAAAATACCGCGTCTGTGGTAAGTTGTGCTGATGAAAATCTATTTTACCATCTCCTTAACTCTACACGAGACTGACAACATACAAGAGCTGACGTACTCCATACTTCCATGGTGCTAAGGTCCTTGCTGTGGAATTTCCCCTTTTCCATTCTGAGTGTGACTTATCGAAAATAGTGTATTGCTATCTGGTATCAAACATGGTTACTCTTAAACGAGGCGGATCCAGAACACAATTGCATTTTTTTTGGGGGGGGGGGAGGGGGGCGCCGAAACAACTCTGGACCCCAATAAGGTGGGTCCAAACATTACGGCGTGGGGTTCGGTGCCTGCTTAACGGGCCCCGAAGCTTGTTTGGATTCTAGATGCTCTGTGGTGTGATGTGAGGCAATTTCTGACCACTTCAACCAATTTGTTTTTAGGAAAAGATGCTGCCTTTTTTTCCGACGTCACTTTGCCCTCCCCGGACCTGCCGTTGGTCTCAAAGAGAATTCAAAATATCCTTCGCGGAAAAATTCTTATTCGTTTTCAGACTTTCTCCAATTTGAATTGGAGCTTATAGTATCAATTCGTTCAACAATGCAAAACAATTTTGAGTACCACCGTCAACCGTGTCTGGTGCCCGACGTATGATTCCGAATGAATATTCCACCGAAGTGCACCTGTACATGTGAATTCGTTTCACGCATGCCTGCTTCGTGATGGAAAAACCCCGAGCCGGTCGTCTTTTCCGAGAGAACAGCCTTTTTGAAAAGCCAAACCGTGTCAAGTTCTTTTTATGGAAGCGCTCATCACGCGTGCGGGGCTGGCCGGCAGGAGACGGCGAAGAATGTAGCGATTTTTTCTTTACCTTCCGCAGAAATAGATGTAAGCAAGCGATGGAGGCTTCTGTTTATGGATCTAGGCCAAGAGGTTTCTAGTCTTCTCCTGGCCTGTGCAAACAACTCGAGAGTGGAGAGGGTAGCTCATCCAGATCAGGCGGCAAAATCGGCCGGCTGAAAAGAAAACATGGGTCCGTTCAAGGGAGGTTTTAAAACGCGCGTCTTTTTTACCCTCAAACGGCGCGAAGCTTTGCTATCTTCAGTAGATAGTATTATTAACTGCTGAAAGGCTGCGGGGGCTTGTATCGAACACGCCTGTATGTTTAAATAGGCCAGGGTCTGGATCAAGATTTCAGACCCCCGGCTGGTCGCTGTGAACTCCCTCGCGAATTGGATATATTTGCTTTAATTTGGCCAATTTGTAATATCCCCTCAGCTGCTGTGGGAATTCCGATGACGTAGGTTTGTTTTTATTTTCAAGGCGAAGGTTTGAGAGACAACATCGCGAGGCATGTTGTGGAGATCTCCGATAAGACGAGTCCATATTGTTGAGGTGGACAGGGGGTGATGAGCACGCGAGACTTCTTTATGATCTCCACATGTTTGTTTCTCAATCCTATCAGGAGAGCCTCCTCCATCAAGATTATGGCACTTATGCCCCTAATGTGAAGCGATTTTGGCACATGTTTTCATCATGAAGTTTATGGTTTGCGTAATAGCGATATGTTTTGGAGTGTTTTCACGGAGATAATGTTGCGATATTTAAGTATTCAAAATATGTAAGAAACAAATTTGCCGAAAAAGCACAACAAAACATATAAATCATTTTTTTCCCACGTGGCAACAGTGACTTCAGAGGACAGTGAAATCGGAGCATATTTGTACCATTTAAGGACCTGCATACACTGGATGACTGCATTTTGTGCTTCCGCATACTCTTTATACCTTTTTGCAAAAAAA